GCTATACACATTGCCAAGAATCCAGTATATCATACCTGAACGAAGCACATTGATGTACATTACCACTTCATACGCTCGCTGATTGAGGATGAAAAGTTATGGTTGGAGAAGATTTTAGGGAGTTAAAATCTTGCGAATATGTTGACGAAAGAACTCACTATCAAAAAACTGGAGGATTGCACAACTTTAGTTGGCCTTTACGCGTAGGAGATGAAGGCAGAGCCACACTAGGAGTATCGACGGGATCGCCAAGATGATGATGATTGAAGAATGGATTTTTCTGGGTAGGAGAAGATGCTTGCGAAGATGGTAGAAGTTTGGGAGAGCTCGTTGATGGCGGTTTTGTCTCCAAGTGGGAGATTATTGGTTTTGGAAATGTGAAGACCGAAACCTGCGAGGCTGAAAAATCTCGGGTCGGTCGACCAATGGAGTAACCCTGGTTGACTGAAGAGACTGCAATAAACAAGCTCAGGAACACGCTCTGGCCGGTCGAACGAAGTTGTGTTGTCGGTCGACCGAGGGTGTCGAATCAGTTGACCGAAGGTAATGAACCGGTCGACCGAAAACATGCACGAAAACAATATAAAATAGTGTGTTCTGGCCGGTCGACCGACACCCATGGTCCGCTCGACCAGAATCGGTTTTTCCAGATTCTTTATTCGTTTGGGAAACTGTTTTGGACCAGGATGCTATATATACCTAAACAATTTTAGGGTTAAATGCAACATAGAAAAAGAGGGTTCTAAGAGGATTCTTTCAGAGAGATCTCAGAAAGATAAAAACCTATTTGTGGGCATTGTAATGTTCTTCAATTAATCAAAGAATTGTGTGGTGTGGCTCCCGAGGATGTAGGCACGTTGTCGAACCTCATTAAATCTGGTGTGTCCCTTCTTGTTTATTTTTCCTGTAATTTTTCTTTTATTTGCGGTGATTTTCCAACTTGTTAAACTCTTAGCACAAGATCCAGAAGAGCACGGGTTCGAACCCTCAACAGAGCTAACTTGAAACAGGGAGGCTATAGAATTATATTTATTCACCAAACCAATTTTGCACCTGAATCAATTTACAGCAAAACCCTGAATCATGAGGCGTAGAGATCCTTCACATCTCAATATCAGAACTTTAAAACTTATTAATAACATTTTTTTTCACTAAGTGGACCCTATAAATTATATTCTTTATCTAAATTATACTAATATAGAAACTCTTTAATTGTGGAATCTACTAAAACAATCCAATAGCATTGACCTACATAACTAATTATATACATTCTATGTAACTAAGATTGTAGGAGATCTGGACTCATGAAAGAAATGCTACATCTTAGCAGTGGAACTCATGCTAATAAAATTCCATCGTGAAGTCCCAATGGTGATGCTTATATGGCTTTTCGTGTGACGACTAGAAGTTGTTTCCTCTGAGAGATTACAAGTTAGTTGCCCTTACAAGTGATGTTAAATAGTCCACCAATCACGAGTTTTTCAAGTTGGCTTTGTTTATCTTGATCAGTTTTGTAAATTGATATGGTAGTTACTATCTTGCTTAGGGACCGTAGGATAAGTCAAAGTTCCATACCTTTTTTTCTCTAAAATGCACTGCCAATTGGATGTTCTATCTTCGTAGTAAGTGACGATAATGTCCTCTCTTATCTCTTATACTCTTATGGAACTCTTCTTAGCATAAGATCTCTTGTAAGACACAAAACAAAGAGTTTTCCTCTCAGTTACGTTCTTTGTAATTTTCAGTCATTTAGACAATATTACATGCATTGCTTATTCTATAATTTGTAATAACATGTGCAAATTTTAAAACAATTTACATTGCTTTTAATGATGTAAATATCGTGCACAGTTGGAGTGCAAAGACTCATGAATGGAGAGAGAGATTAGACTAAGATTTAGAATAATGATAACAACTATGTTGTTCTGCACTATTTTTACATTACAAGAGAGAGAAGTGCAGACTCCTATAACGAGTCATCATTTTTTTAAAAAAAAATTTGAAGAGAATTAACCTCACTTTTTTTTCTCTCTTGTAGCGTAGAAGTAGTATTGTAAAAGTAATAGCATAGTTATCACTACTCTAATATCTATTTGTGTCCAAGTTTCCCAATAATACCAGCACTTAATTGAATCATGGGGACAAACATATTAATCATATGTCTATTTAAATGTTCTTCGAATATGGAACTAAATCACCCATACATTTGGTATGATACATTAAACGAGCGCTTGAATAGAATTGTTTTCTAATTATTTTATTTATTCTCTATACTTTGAATATTGTTATGTTAAAATATGAAAAATATAAACCTCAATCTTCACTGTGACTTCAGATCTATTATGGCAGAATTCTTCAATATGGTATCAGATCAATCTAAGTTCAAATCCTAACAGGTGAAAAGAACTTCTAAAAAAGTTGATACCAACATGTAAGTCCATGCTTCAATCCATTAAAAAGAACTCTCAACCCACAAGAACATGTTAGAATATAATAATATAATCCTTAATCTACATCATAACTTTGAAGTTTTTGTAAAATAACATATTACTTTGCCAGTCTCTTTCACAAGCTACTATATACAAATCATCAAGCAATATAAAATTTTGATGTGTCAACATAAATCAAATTGCTTTCCTAATCTCTCTCTCTTGGAAAAAAAGAGAAAACAAGAATATAACTTTTATTAAAGAAAATGTTTCATTTTACACATCTCATTCTAATAGAGAGAATGACTAGGTCTGTCCATCCGAGCCAGCCCGGCCCAGAAATCCGGGCCCGAGCTGGGCAAACCGGTGACCAGACCCGGACCCGGGTACCCCGGGCCAGGTCCGGGCCCGATCGGGCCGAGTTCCGGGCCGACCCGTTTTTTTTTAAAATTTGTTTATCAAATTTTTTAAATTTTATTTAAATTTTAAATTATAAAAAAAGACAAAAAAATAGAAAATAATAATTTTATTAATCACTTAAAATGACATAAATTACAAATAAAAAAATTATAAAAATGAATTCTTTATTAATAATTAATAAATCATTTACAAATTACAAGTATAAATTTATTTTGGAATTCATCGCATCACAATAGATAAGTATATCCCAACTAGGTTTTTTTAAATTTCTTTTCTTTTTTTTTTTGATAAAAAAATACTAAAAATTAGTTTAATATTATTATATTTTATATAATTACGTATTAATATATACTTCCAAATTATTATGTAACTATATATTATATATACATATATTATATGTAAATATATTGTATATATTTATAAGTTATAACTTGAGAGAGAGAGAGAATCACATAAGTAGCTACTTATATACTAAGAGAGAGTATATATATACACACATATGACATATTATACATATATAGAAATATATTATATATACATATATTATACATATATAAAAATATATTATATATACATATATTATACATATTATATATATTTATATATACATATATTATACATATATAATATAATACATATAAAAAATTAAAAAAATTAAAAAAAAACAATCCGGTCCGGGCACAAAAGGGCCGACCCGGGCCCGGCTTGGAGCCCGGACTTGGCCCAGGTTTCCGAGCCGAGGCCGGGCCGAGCCGGCAGGCTTTTTGAACATCCCTAAGAATGACCAAATATATAGGCCTTACACTAACTTAAACTCCTAGAAATTAGCAACAAACAATTGAAAAAACACATGACAATTGACTAAGTAAATAACTAAACCACTACTAACATACTATCCTGAAAAATAGGAAACAACCTAATAACTAATTTTGAATCAGTTATTCAACATTCCTCATTGATTCAAAATTTTTTGTCATTCCTCTTGAATCTTCATAGAGCACTTCTCTCCATAATCTTGTAAAGCACTTCTCTTCATTTTGTGATGCACTTCTCATCTCTATCTTGTTGATACACATAATCACCAACATTTTCTTAAAGGAGCACCTCTCACCACAAATATTGATAGAGCACTTGTCTCAATCTCTCCATGGTACACATTTCACCATGATTCCTAGAATAAAATTTTTTCTTCAACTGCTTATGACATGTTTGCTTGTTCTTCACCATTATATCTGCAATATTTTTGGATATGACCAAATCTCTTGCATTTGTGACATTGAGGTTTTTCTTTATGCCAACAATCCTTCTCCTCATGACCAAGTTTCTTACAATAATTACATTGGACTCCTTTGCCTTTCCCTTTTGAAGATGAAGTCTTGGCTAATAAGGCTTCTTCAATTTTTTTGGTTTACTTGTAGTTTTCAAATCATCAAGCATTATAAAATTTAGATATGTGTCAACTATATAAATCAAATTGCTTTCCAAATCTCTCTCTCTCTCTCTCTCTCTCTCTCTCTCTCT